TACGACCGCGTGCTTAGGATAGCCCTTCCCCTGGGCAGCACAGTCGTCTGCTATGCAGACGACACGCTAGTGCTGTCCGGGGGCGCCGACTGGGGGGAAGCGACGGCCCAAGCCAATGTGGCCGTCGAATGCGTTGTACGCTCTATTCGGGCGCTGGGCCTGAGGGTGGCTCCCAACAAGACCGAACCGTTGTTCCTGCACGCTCGGTCCGAGGGGCCGCCCCCACAGGCCCACATTATGGTGGAAGATACCCGCGTTGCGGTGGGGCCCGCGCTGAAATACCTGGGCCTCACCCTGGATGGAACCTGGGGCTTTGTCGAACATTTCGTACGACTTAGCCCCAGGCTGGGCAGGATGGCGGGCGCGCTTGCCTGTCTCCTGCCCAACTTCGGTGGTCCAAAAACGATGGTGAGACGGCTGTATGCAAACACGGTCCACTCAATGGCCCTATATGGGGCACCGGTGTGGGCGGGTGAGATGGGGGCCAGCCGGCGCATCAGGGCGCTAGTCAATAGCGCCCAGCGCGTCATGGCCAACCGTCTCACCCGCGCTTATCGGACCGTGTCGCATGCAGCCGTCACGGTCCTGGCCGGCATGATCCCAGCGGACCTCCTCGCTAGGGTGTACGCTGACACGTACACCCGTCTGAGGAGGCTCCGCGACGAGGGTGAAGTTCTGTCGGCCGGGACCATAGGGCGGATCCGTGCCCTGGCCCGGTGTAGGGCCCTCCGACGCTGGAAAAGGCAACTCGGGGGGCCCAATGTACCGGGCAGGCGGACCATCGAGGCCATCCGCCCCTGTCTCCTCGAATGGGTGGACAGGGGTCACGGCGGATTAAACTTCCACCTGACACAGGTGCTCACCGGGCACGGCTGCTTCGGTGAGTACCTGTGTCGCACAGGGAAAGAGCGTACGACGCATTGCCACCACTGTGCAGCCGATCGGGACACCGCGCAGCACACCCGGGCCGAATGCCAGGCGTGGGCTGCCGATCGCGGTGTCCTGATCGCAGTGGTTGGCGGCGACCTCTCGCTCCCGGCCGTAGTCAAAGCTATGGTCGGGAGCAAAGAGGCCTGGGAGGCGGTGGTCTCCTTCTGCTTCTCTGTAATGGGGCGGAAGGAGGCCGCCGAAAGAGTTAGGAGGGGGGAGGCGGAGGTAGTACCGCTTCCCCCCTCCACCTCCTCTTCGGAGGAAGATGAGGAGGAAGAGATGCCGAGGAGACGCGCAAGGCGGGGTCGCAGGTGGCGTCCCCGCCCCCCTCCTGCCCACCTCAGATAAAGGGTCCCGGAGGGGAACCTCAATTAAAGAGTTCCTCTCCCATTTAGGGGTAGGAACGCCCTCACTCGCGGGCTGCTATGGGAGGGGAAAACTTCTCCCCTTCCAATCTTCTTGGCCGCCCGCTGTCCTGAGGAGTTACTCCGGATCAACTCCGGAAATGGGAGTAAAGTCCACCCACCCACGGAGGGTCGGGCGGGG